AATACTAAAGCAATAATTAATCCGGTAAAGAGATGTATGCTGACAGAGTTGAATGCGAATATAATAACCTTTTTTTACGATAATGTTCACTCTATACAAGGCTCAAGGTTAAGTTCTGTACAATCCACATTTTATGAGTATATGTGACGAAAATAACAGTTAACCCCAGACTTGAACAAGTTAAGATTATAGTGATCAGAGATAATTTCCCGTGGGAGGTTGATTTAATAATGCAGCTGATCGTGGGAATAAATTATCCAAGTGGTACTCAGATCTCCCCCCCCCATTGAATATGCACAGATTGAGAGTGGTTCTTCACAAAGTGCGTGACATGGTGTTTCTTAGCCGTGAAGGTTAGAAGTAGTGCTACTAAGCGATGTAGTACATCTGATCACTTTCCATGGAAATAGTGAAAGACTAACGAGAGGCTCGCAAAGTTTCGTCTGTGGCGAAAAAAGTTTATATAGTAGAAAATAATTAATCACCTGCAAGACTGTTTGGGCTTTAGGTCTCTATCGAGACTGGAAAGTAACGACTGCGAAGCTGCTACTCATATATAGCAACAGTCGTTCACTTTCGGCCTGATCTGCCTCTTTTCAATGTATAGGATCGCTTGTGGAGTCAGGTACTTACTGGATTGGTACAAGGATCGGACCATATTCACATCATCTTTAGCGATGGACCGTGCTGGCAAATCCCAATGAAAGAAATTAAGACATGCTATAGTGACATCAGCAAACGAGATCGTATCAAGGAAACGCAGACAAAAAGAAAAAAAAGTGAATGACTTTAAATCTTCGAGAAGATGAAAAAAAGAAACCGCAAACAATGCCAGGGAATGGCAGAGAAAGCAGAACATTTTACAGAAACAATACAATCAAATGCAGGTAGCTCAAAGAGTATCTCAATAAAAATGCATACAAATATTTCTCTTTTATTAATGTTCACCCAATACCATGGCCAAAAGCCGGTCATGGTAGAGTGACACTCTGTGGGGTTGTATGAGCGTAAGAAAGGGCAAGAAATGACGTTCTTGGGGCTAGGAAGGATAGATAATTGCTAACTCTATACCTGAAGAAATCAAGATTTTAATTTAACATTTCAGATTTAAATCGAAGACGTTAGAAGTATACCGTGAAAGTACACTTTAGAAGGAACCTAAACAGCAAACAAGGGATAAACCTCTTTTCCCTTCAAATACCAGGGAGGAGTGTAAACCGGGCGATAGTCGAACCTATTCGCTCTTACTGCGAGGGGAAAATAATTAAATGAATACAATTTCAGAGTTTAGGTGGAGACGTTAGAAGTATAAAGCTGAAGTAGATTTTAGAAAAAACTCGAAACACAATCATAGACAGGAAACAAGGGATAAACCTGTATTCCTGTACAAAATAACGGGAGGAGTATGAACCGGACAATAAAAAAAACGGAACATCATCGATATTGCATAAAAGATTAAAAGATTTAATAGGACAACAGACGAGTCTACCCATAGGATATAATATAATGATGGCAGAAAAACAGAAAATATTCAGAGATGGAAGAAATATACTGAAGAGCTCTTTCACGGCCAAGGAGTGAAACCTCACAAAATAAAGAAAACCTTTTAAGGATTATCTAATTGATTTCATATTCCGCCAATATTTCTCCGCCATGAGGCGGTTAGATAGCGTGTCAGATTTTATTAAAGGATATCATGACATTAACACAGCGAAACAGTCTGTCCGTGGATGACTATATATATATATATATATATATATTATAAATTAATTGATTTAAAATATGATTTTTTTTTCGCTACACAGTTCTAACCATGTTTCAAAACTGGAAGCTGAAAGCTTCGAATTTAATTTTGTAATTAAATTAAAGACATTAGTTCATCCTCAAGCGAATTTTGGAGTAACTTATTTATTAATGGGTTATAAAGGCACAGCAAAAAATCATAATTCACTTTTCCAAGGATACCGAGAATTCCAATTCAAACAGACAAGGGTTGTTTGCGTTCATTATCGCTGTATTTTGTTATATTAGTTAGGTTTTGGTAGGAGTAGGGATGTATTTTTCAATGAATTCTGACATCCGTTAAATGCATGTCGTCTGGATATGAATATATATATATATATATATATATATATATATATATATATATATATATATATATATATATATATATATAAAACAGACCACTTTAAGGTTCCATGTAATAAATTATTTCACCACAGCCTTTTATGTGTGTGTGTGTGTGTTTGTGTATTTAGGCAGTAATCCTTTCATTACATTTCATTGAATATGACTGACAAGGTGTTTTTATTTAAATTTTATACAATTTCTCATGCGATCTAATTTTTTTTTTTCTTTTCGGATGATAAATTATATAAAAACTTATTTAACAGTTAAAATATTCAATCCTTGAAAATGGCTAAATGTATAGCCGAAAGCGCTCGGATAAAAGGAACATTCGGACAGTTTTTATATAATTTATCATCTGAAAAGAAAAAATATTAGATCGCTTGAGAAATTGTATAAATAACTAAATAAAAGCACCTTGTCTGTCGTATTCAATGAAATGTATATATATATATATATATATATATATATATATATATATATATATATATATATAATTATTTATTCTAAAATTATGACATAAATATGTTATAAAATCACTACAAAAATAGCCATTTTGTTTCAACATCTTTGGCATCTTACCAAGTGATCATGTTGAATATAGAATAAAGGGTTTTAAAAGGTTCAAATTAATTAACCACCTTTTGCAAGGGGAAACGCTATACATAAACTGGAAAGGCCAAGCAAAATACATGCATACAAATATCGCTCTACTCTATATTGAGCACTCTTTTAAGAATAATAATTGTTGGTTATCGGAATTTATTCCGTATACATCAATCTTATACTTGGGTATATATATATATATATATATATATATATATATATATATATATATATATATATATGCCTGTGTTTGTGTGTGTGTGCATGCGTGTATAAATATAGATATATACATATATTATTATAATTCAGAAGCAAGTGAGTTAAATTGAATTGACGGAACAGCTGGGAGCCGCCGATAGCTGTGCTAACACGGAGTTACAAGTCATCGTGACCGAGGGTTTGAAAGTGTTGGCGTTGTCTAGATTGTTTATCATGCTAGATAACACGCTTCTTCCCAGAAACTGTAGCTAAGGTCTTCTCAGCATAGTTGTAGTATAAATCACAGGTTGACTCTGTGGGTGTTATGGCTGAGCGAGAGTCTACAATAGGGATTGTCTAGTCGCCCAAGTAGACGGGTATCCTAGAATATCCATATATATATATATATATATATATATATATATATATATCGATTCTCATATATATATATGTATATATAGTCGACTCTCCTGTCGAATTCGACGTATGAGGGTCAAGCAGATCAGTTCCTAGAAAACCGACAGCCCGACAACAGCACATGAGATTTGATTATAGTGGTGAAGGTTTCGTGCAGGACCATCCACACTCTTTTAAAGGGCCGAATACAGAGACCTGGTGCACTGAGTGCCACAAGGTCCCCAAATGACCCTCCGCAGGTTTTGAATTCAGAGTTGTCCTTCTCCTAGACCAGTTGCCATCCAAGGCTATAGAACCCAGTATGTCCTGCTATTTACCCATAGCAAGGAAGAAGAAGAGGATTCATACCTTTCCCAAGGGTATTAGCACGTAAGTGAATGTAATGGATTCGACTGGAATTCGAACTCGGCTCTGCGATTCCTCAATCCAAGCCGCTATCTATTACCCCCATATATATATATATATATATATATATATATATATATATATATATATATATATATATATATATATATATATATAGAGAGAGAGAGAGAGAGAGAGATAGATAGATAGATAGATAGATAGATTATTTTTCTGATGAACTGGTGAGAAGAATGAGATGAAAAGCCCAGTTCTTCCTTCTTGATCTAAATAATTCAGATATAGCAGATTCTAGTGAGTTTGGGGGTTTAAAAAAATCCTCTTTTCACTAAACGCTTACACGGCTTTGAAACTGATCGTCTAAACAATTTAAATGTCATCACTTTTCATAAAAATAGGAATTAGTTTCAGATGCATTTAGATTGCATAGATAAGGATCCAAAGAAATATTTGTGAAATCTAATTTTTTTTTATCTAAACACGACTGCAATTGTGTAGCGATTTTGACATGTGTTCGATGTAATTTCCTAAAATAAAGAATATTGGTCTACTTGGTACTGAGTAATCTTTTAAATGATACAAACGTTGGAAGTGTACTCTATTAGTTCTCATCTTACTTGGACACACACACACACACACATATATATATAGATATATACATATAAATATAGATAACTAGACTCGTTTCGAAAAACCCTCGAATTTTTGATTTGCTAATCAAATCAATCTCGAGGGAAAAAAGTTTTAAAAAAAAGAAAGAGCTACAAACATGAACTTCTGTCGACAAAAAATCGCACAGATGCAGGTCTGAAGCCCAAAGAAAAAACCCCGATACGAGTAAACAACTAACTAACAAAAGAGCTCAATACAACCGTAGAGCAGACCTAGATACACCTAGTGAGCCAGACAAACCTACCTAGGTTTCACCTAAACGGATCGTCAGGGAAAGTTTGGCTAACGAGGCAAAAGAAAACACATATTTATAGGTGATAATATATATATATATATATATATATATATATATATATATATATATATAACTCTGTTACACTACATTGAGTACTGTTTGGATTACACCAAAAATTAAATATTTATTTGCAAAACTGTATATGAACGTAATCGCAGGTATGTATGCACACACACACACGCACACACACACACACACACACACACACACACACACACACATATATATATATATATATATATATATATATGTAATCGCAGGTATATATGCACACACACACACAGACACACACACACACACATATATATATATATATATATACACAGAGATAGATAGATAGATAGATAGATAGATAGATAGATAGATAGATAGATAGATATGAACAGACTAAGATAGATGGATAGATACATACATACATGCATACATACATACATATGACCAGGATGAGATAGAAGGATAAAAAATCAAATAGATAGATAAATAGATAGATATGCACAGACTTAGATAGATAGATAGATAAAATAGATAGATATGACCACATTACGAAAGTTAAGTAAATGTGACTAGAATGAGATAGATAGATAGATAGATAGATAGATAGATGTTCCGATATATATATAGACATGATTAGAATGAGATAGATGGATAGATAGATAGGTAGGTACGTAGGTAGGTAAAACAAAATGACATTGATTGATAACAACAAAATGAGATAGATATATAAATAGCTAGGTAATAACAGTCAGAGTGAGAGAAAAAGTGAGATGTATATACAATTTGCAAGCGATCGATATGAAAGGATTCCTGTGTTAGTGTAACAGTTTTTGTATCGTGCTGTTAGTTTCATTTCCTCAGATCGTGTCAGATGAAGTTAGCAAGTAAATCCAACGTTGAAATTCTTCACCGAGATCAAACTGTTCAATTAATTTCGAATCTGAAATCCAGAAGATTATCAGAATAGATCTATTGACTGCAAATATGTCAAATGATAGTGTGCGACTACTTGCGCTACGAAAAATTCAGTTAACATAAGCTCATAATTTTATAGGTATACGTTTATGTGAAAAAAGAAGGCATTCCAATAATCTCATCTTTATTTTTTAATAATTTCACCATAAAGTAAGGGGATTAAGCCCCTAAGACACAATGAGGGGTATTTTAACCGAAACAAACTGGGGAAAAAAATTTCTGTGTATGGCATAAGAGATTCAAAGAAGCCAGTCCCAACTGTGGACCATTTGAAAGATAGTCCGAACAGCGGATTGGTTGTGACAAACATCCAATCGGGTGTGCGGAAAATGTGGTCTTTTTTTCGTCTAATTCAATAAAAAGACCAGAGTAGCTGTTAGCGTTTGATTGCGAGGGGGAATCAGGGATTGATATCCGCTGATTGGGTCGACTTGGTGATGGAGTGTATGATGTTGAAAGATCCGAAACTCTCTGATGAACCAAGTCAAATTACATCACTGACGGACCCCTCCGTCACCTACTTAAGAGCATATTTTTGAATTATTGAACTATAAACATCAAGAAAGAATATAATAATTGACGTTGCATTTAAATATTTGAATATCGTAGTTGACAGAAATGCAGGAATCTGGAAACGTTAGAAACCGTTAGAATAGAAATTAAACTTTACATTTTCAACAGTGAAGCGATGAGAGCTAACTGCCAATCTAGTACTGCGCTTAAATTTATAAAATCTCGGTACCAATGACGTATGTACGCAAGAACGATCATCGTGAAAGTATTTCTAGAAAAAAAACACCGGGAAGGTACGGTACGGTACGGTACTGCGGATGGAAAAGGGACTGAAGCCGAGATGCCAGGTCAGGACTAATAGCATTGCAGATATGTTCTGAATATGTAGCAGAAGTACCAGGCAAGATGTGTTAGGAATATTCAATGCATGAACGAAAGGTAAACTTATAAATTGCAAAACACATTCGCGCGAGAAAAAAAAAATCTTTTTCTATCTCTCTCTTTGTATAATATATATATATATATATATATATATATATATATATATATATATATGTGTGTATTTAGGCAGCATCCTTTCATTTATACACGTTTCATTAAATAATATAGACAAGTGTTGTCTATCTCTTTTATGTAAACTCTTTTCATAACGTCTAATAAGTTTAATAACATTATAATTGAACGAAGAAAGAAATTCACAATATTGGTCCATATTTTTTAAATACAATCTAAGCTTTCGGCTTACATAAGCCATAATCAAAGATATCAGTTACAACATATTGAGCAATATACGGACAAGACTGTGATGACAGTCTTGAATGTTTACATTGATGGTCTCTAAGCAACGATAAACACATGCATATAAGACGCTAGAAGCGAAAATATAAGATGCTAAAAGAGCATCTCATGATGTCGCACATGACCACACGAGAGTGAATTGTGGGAGTATGAAGTATGGAAAGCCGTTAGCACAAACCAATGGCCTCCGTCACCAACTACAGCCATTTAAGGATATTTGTAGAGATTCCATAGTTGTAGAAATTGCTAAATGTCGAACCCAGTACAATTTCTACATGTCGAAGCTTGAAAACAAGATATTTACAGATTTAAAAAAACCCATCAATCTACCTAAGATACGTTGATGATATTCTTTTGTTAGTTAAAAATAAAGATGAAATACTTCAACTTCAAAAACGTTTCCAAAATAATTCTGTCCTTAAATTCACATATGAACTCAATACTACTAATAAATTCCCCTTCCTTGACATATTGATAAACACAAAAAATAACAAATTTACTATTTCGCCATACAAAAAAAAACCTACAAGCATAAATTCATGTACACTTAACTCCAAGAACGAATGCCCATATTACTACAAAATAGCAATTATAAAGAATCTAATATATCGTGCAGAAACTAATTCATCCACAAAACAGATTTTTTACAGTGAACTAAAGAATATAAAACAGACACTTATCAATAATAGCTTTCCAAACTATATAGTTGAACAAATAAGATGCTTTCTTAGAAATCTCAATACTAAGCAAATAGGACATAATATATATATATATATATATATATATATATATATATATATATATATATATATAACGTAGAAGTCAACATTGGTAGGGCGACAGTCTGTTTCATGCTAGACGTAATCATCAGGTCTGAAGATTGCGTCTATCATGAAAACAGACTGTCGCCATAAGTCTTGATTTCTATGTTCACTTTATATTTATATTTACACACGCTCTATCTCTGATATTGAGCACTTTATCCCGTAAATATAGCACATCTTAAGACTATATTTCTTAATATATATATATACACACACACACACACACACACACACACACACACACACACACACACACATATATATATATATATATATATATATATATATATATATATATAAGCATGATGGATTGAGGAATCGGAGAGCCGGGTCCGAATTTCATTCGAATGCATTACATTCACATGTGCTAATACCCTTGGGAAAGGTATTAATTCTCTTCTTCTTCCTCCAACTATAAGTAAATAGCAGGGCAGACTGGGTTCTATAACCTTGGATAGCCTTAGATGACAGCTGGTCTAGGAGAAGGACAACCCTGAATACAAATTTCGGGAGGTTGTTTGGAGATCTTGTGACAAGTAATGCACCAGTTCTCTGCATTCAGTCCTTTAAAACGTTGTTGGATTTGCAGGAAGCCTTCACAACTATAATTAAATCTGGCTGTCGGTTCTTAGGAACTGAAGTGCTTGACCCTAATACGTCGAATACAATGGGAGATTCCACCATATATATATATATATATTAAAGCAATTCCCCCCAAGCAAGGTGGGAGTGCCACTACTACGCAAGGGGTCACAGAAGATTGAGAACTAAAGTAAAGAGGCTTCTTAGAGGAAAGGATACAGAGAAAGACGGGGAACAAACAAAGGATGTCAGATGTCGATTGATATTACAATTAAATATTTGAAGATTGTAGTCATCGGGGAACCAAGTAAAGGAAAGGGAGTTCCACAGACGGGAAGTGCGGTTGAAGAAGCTGTTTGAATAGAAGAGACGGTTACATTTAACTGTTTTGATAGTGAAGAAGTGGGACTGAGATGCCAGCCTGGTTGCTCGTTTAAATTCATGCAGTTCGGGAACCAGCGAATGTAGATCGTCAAAACAGTTGCCGTGAAAATACTTGTAGAAAAGACAGAGAAAGTTCACGGCACGTCTGTGGGAAAGCGATTGTAGACTAGATGCCAGATCAGGACCTATCACATAGCATATTCGTCTCTGGATTTTGTCAAGGACCTCGAGACGTACAGCTGGAACACCTGACCATATATGGTCAGTAATATTCCATGCAAGGACAGATGATTGATTTTTAGATTTGAAGGATGGACTCAGACGAGAAAAACTTTCTGGGACCACACAAGGAACCAACTTTTCTTTCGATAGATGAATCTATTGATTCAATGTATTTTTATACCTCTGTATTATGTAGTGTGTGTATGTTCGTTTGTATGCGTGTTTGTGGCTGTAAATCGTAATTACTCTCATTAGGTCTTATAAAGCAGCAGATGGAGCGTACTTTTAAAACATTTGCTTTCAATATTAGTATAATTACCTAGAATTAAGAAGGAATGTACTTTTTAGTTGCGCAACCATATAATACTCACAGCACAGTTTGAGGGCAAGAGGGAAAACACCATATGACATACGTATTATGCTTGCGGAAAGCTACGAATGAAACGAAATTGTGGAGATCCACGATCGCCTACGTCCTTAAGTGACACCACGACGCATAAAGAAAACAACAGTTTGTTTAGGACTCAAAATGTTCTGCCTGTCATCGACACCAGATGAAAAGCAATATTGTAGAAAAGCGAATTTTCTTGGCGTATCAACTCCTCATCGGTCACATAATGTCGAAATTTAATTTTGAAGTAATAAAATTAAGATATATATTATTCTGCTTTCACAGTTGAATACATGGTAGATGATACTCAGCTTTTCTAGATAGACATGTTTGTGTGGACATGATTACTAGAGGCGGTGTATGTGTCATATTAATATGACATATGTCATATTAATATGTAAATAAAACCCTTACATATGATACAGGAAGCAGGGACAACATTTTTATTTCTCAACATTTGGTTTGTCTTTCATCATATGTTACCTTGTGAGCATGCAGCAGGAACTTCCCAAGCTTTTAGTGCACACCAATGAGATCAAGGATTGAAATGCAATGGGCGGGGAGGGGGTTGGTCAATCATTCATCAGTCAGGGGAAAGCTTGGGTGAGAAGTATTGTACATTTACGCATCCATCCCAGTCTTACATTGATTTGTTTGTTTAATGGCATATCAACTCCTCATGGGTCATTTAATGATGAAATTTAATTTTCTTGGGAGCTTTGAAGTAATAAAAATATGATATATGTTATTCTGATTTCACAATTGAATACATGGTAGATGATACTCAGCTTTTGTGCATATGCATGTTTCTGTGGACATAATTACTAGAGACGGTGATACGTGCATATCAACCTCTAGGGGTTATTTAATGTTGAAATCTAAATATTTTGAACAATTTTATAGCTTCAACTGCAGATGAAATGTATTGGTTATTCAAAAATA